CGGGCTCCGCCGCCGCGCTCTGCCTACGGCTCCCGACGTGCCCCGCGCCGCCGCCTACCGCTCCCGGCGTGCCCCGCGCCTGCCGCCTCCTCCCGCCTCCTCCCCGCTGCCCACAGAGCCGCCGGTCACCCCACCGGCCGGCGGCCAATCAGGAGGCGCCGCCTGGGCGCGCGCGGCACGCGGGGGCGGGGCTAACGGCGCGGTGGGGCGGGGCGAAGGGACGCGCCCCTCGCGCCACCGGCCCCGCCCCGCGCTGCGCCTTGGCGGGGGGTGACTCATTTCTTGGGGCTGCGTCACTTGTTGTCACACGTAATTGGGGGGATTCCCCCAGTTTTCCCGAAAGAGAGGGAGTTTTGGTGCCAATTCCAGGTGGTTATTGCTGCAACTGTGCTAAAATAGCATAAAGTGTCTATGTGGGACCAAACCACGTGGGGTTTCTAGATGAAAGCTATACCCAGAGGCAAGAATGTATTTTCACAAGCATTATTTACAGATGTTTCGAGGCTACACTAAGCGTCGCATACTGCTGTATCACAGGATCTCATCTGGTTACTAATATGYCCAGGTTGATACACACGGACCTGAGTGCCTTAGACCTAGACTTAGTGTTTGCCTTGGCAAAGTTAAATAAATAGAGAAAAATCCAACAAGTCAACGGTGCTTCACCCGCAGAGTGGTTTAAGAAACAGAGATACACGGGGTACAGTTAAGGAGGTGAAATGTTCATAGAAGCTCTRGTTGTTCCTACTCCCATCACACGTGAAAGTGAAAATAGGACACGTAGCGACTGTGCTACCACGTCCCCAGGCAGATTATAGTGACGTTCTGCCGGGGGCTGCCAGGGGCGCCCCAGTTCTGCGTCTCCTGTCTTGGCATCTTCCAGCRCCCCGGTGCTGGGGCGACATAAAAGCTGCTCTAAGACGTGGGAGATGCTCTGGGGAACCTTCTTTCTCCCCCTCGTCATGTCTGAAGCAGGATTTGCACTATTCCTCCCCAGGTAAGACCTAACATTTGTAAAAGGTCGTTGTTAGAGAGCAGGAGCGATCCTCGTGCAGYGGGGACGGGAGCCCCGGCCTGCAGGAGGCAGCCCTGTGTCATCCACAGAGTGCCTTGAGGATCACTTAACTCTGCAAGCACAGAAGCCCTGGGAGAGCAAAAGGTGRAGAGATCACAGAGGAACACGAGGCAAAGCTATGCACGCCCAGAAACAAGTCCCATTCCTCCTTTTGATGGGATTATGCCGTGTCCCTGTGTGTCGAGGTGCGGTGTACAAACCTCCCGGCACACGTTAGGAGCTGTTTGTGCAGCGTGTGCGTTCCCAGCCGTGAGCCCCAGAGGTCCCTGCCAGCTTCCCAGGGTCGGAGGCGCCTCGGGGCTCTCCTGCACGTCAGYTACCAGCACGTGCGCGCGCCCATGCAGAGCCCGTAGCTGCTGGGCAGCGGGCGCTGGCAGCACACGGCGCCTACGGCTCAATGAGTGCGCACAAATTGGGAATTAGGACAGAAATAGCTGYGGTTGTTACTCAAAGCGGTAGCATGGAAGTTCTGGTGACACCATCATGCTCAGCACTCGCAGACACCCTTCATTCTGCTGAGGCATAGACGGTGCCAGCGACACCCGGGGCTCTAGCACTGTGGAACGGGCTGCCCTGTGCAAAACATTTTAATGGAGACAGTTGTGGCCAGCGCCCACTCGGCTGCGGCTGCGATGCGCTTAACGCGGCGATGTCGCACCTTCAATTCCCACCCCCGGGCAGCGAGGGCAGGTGCCGCGCGCGCCCGACCGCCACCAAGGGCGGCGCCGCCAACGGCCACGGCCAACGGCCGCCACCAACCGCCACCCGCCAACGGCCGCCGCCAACCGCCCCCCGCCCCCCGCGCGCAGCCGCTGCCCTGCGGCGCCACCTGGCGGCGGGCGTGGTGCGGCGCAGCCCGCCCGGCTGCGCTTCAGGCGGCCCCAGAGCCCATCTGCTGCACGAGGAAAATCAACCTTCACAGCTCGTGAACCCCGAGGAAGGAAAACCACCTCGTGGCGGTGTTTTTACGGGCTGAAGGCGGCCTCCGGCTTTGCGCATAACGGCGCGAGGGCCCAAGCAGCTGCAGGTTGAATATCCCGGCATATTCCTTAATTTGGGCCACCCTTTAGCTCATGGGTGTATTTTTGCCGCGGGCCTTTGCCAGGCGCTTAAAACGGGAGCATTTAACTGAGGAGAGCGCCCAGGCTCGAAAACTGTGTGGCTTAACTCGCATGTGCCTAGAGAGCTGCCATAAATCACACTGCGATGCCATCCAAAGGTGTCATCACTGGTAATGCTGTTTCTGTCGCAGGTGTCTCGAGTGCCGCCTCGCTGTGTGAAACACACGGACTCCGGAGCGCCGCAATCGCCCCGTGTACCCACRCACACGTAAATGATCCATACCACGACACCGGTGTCTCACAATCTTCCATAACCCAACAATTTATTTAAACTTACATCATCACAATGAGAATCTGTTAATAAAATACATCAGCTCACACCAGTCTGCACTGCCATTTCTTTAGAGGGTTAGCATCTTTCTTCACTTTATATTAAAACTCTACAGAGGTAAAAACTACTGCGTCGTATTGACAGTGGTTGAAATCTATTGTAACGATAGGCAGGTTACAGAGGAACTCTCAGAGCTAATTCACACTTCAGTCAACCTCACATTTTTGGCACTTCTGAATGTTTTTTTTTTCTTTTTAACATAAAATAATCCTTTAGCGAGTCATAGAATCATTGACATCAAGCCTCACTATCCAATGGCAAGTGCTGCCTAAAAGCGTACAAAAATCACACCATTTGGTCACAAAATAGAAAACTCTCTTCTCTTCGCCCCACGCTTAGCACCGAGGTGCCCCTTCAGAACAGGGCCAGCCGCGGGGCCGGCCTCGCCGAGCYGCTGCCGCTCGCTTTGCCACTGAGCTTTCCCTAAACGCATCCCAGAGGGATTTGCTCCCGAGACACCGGCGGCTTCTGGCCGTGCAAGCTGAAGTCGCCGCTCCCAAAGTGCCCTCCTCGGGATGAACGTCGCCTCCTTTCTCCTGGGTGCTGCTGCCCAAGGGACGAGGCGGTCGCGGTTCAGGCAAGCGCTGCAGGGGCTGCAATGGGCAGCGGGTTTCTGTGTCCCTGCCTGCCCAGCAGCAGCCTCCTCTTTGGAAATCAGGTGTATCCGGCAGGAATGTATCACCACCCACACGAATGTAACACCAGGGGTAGTGCATTAAGCAGGCGGGCAACACTCGGCAGTGTTGTGCCAGGCACGTCTTTAAAAGTGTCTGCAGTTACTGGCACACAATAGCGTAACAGAGTGTGCTTCCAATAAAATATACAGCCCCCAATGCTTTAAACATCTGGTGTTATAACCAAAATAAAAAGGCCATACAACTTTACAACCAGGATTGTTTTTTTTTTCCCTCACAACTCTTGAATTGTACTGTTTCAATCAAATTTGGGTGCATTAACTAGCGATTGTTTTATGTTTCACTGATTACAGGCTCCACATACCATGACTTCTTTTGAAGGATGGCTATTGCATTGATTACGTCCCTCCTGCTCAACTCGCTCTGGTAGTAGCAAAAACACATGAACAAGCTGCTGTGGTTAAGCAACAATTTAAACAGCAAAATAAGAGCTTTTTGCTTGCACGGTGGCTACATGGGCACTGTCTTTAACAGGAAAATGCCACCTGTATGGCTGGGTTTCGTTCTGCGCTCCTTTCCAAAGCCCTGGTCGAATACAAACCCTACTCCATTCAGCTTTCTTACCCATCCTTGCTAAAGCTGGTGGGGCAAAACCTCCCTGCTGGTGGGACCGGTGACCATTTCCAAAGGAGGACTGTGGTTTCCAGAACTCGTCTCCGACTTGACCTCTTGCAGAAGGAGACGCTGAAGGAAGGAGCACAGTATTTGCTACACCCATAAAGAAAGAAATTACACTGACACTGATTGGCACAGCTATTGATAGGGACATTTCCAATTCATAGTAAGAGAAACTTCAAGGAATCTGTGGTACTCTGTACCCACAACCACTGACTCTGAAAGGCAGCCCTGCCAAAACCCTACAAAAAGTGAACTCCCTCCCAAAGAGTCCGTTTTTACCTCACGTTCACCGTGAGAACTTCTCCGATTTCGGCTTCGCATTCAGCACATCTGCTGAAGTTAATGGGAATACTTTGGAAAAAAACAAGTGCAGGATGTGCAATAGGTCGGACAGCTTTGTCGGCGTCGGACAACCCGCACCAAATGTGAGAGCGGGACGGGACGTAGCTGCTCGGCACAGAGGAGAGGGCTGCTACGATGGGCACGGAGAGGCCGAAGAGCATCTCGGGGATATAGTGCAACTTCTGCTCATTTAAAAGGCTGTGGAAAAGCAGCCGCCTGCTCGGCACCAGTCTTGAGGGGCAGGCGGCTGCGGACCAGCCCACATCGTGGCTGAAGGGACAGGAAAAGCTGCAGGTCAGTCTGGCACCTGTGTAATTTCCATGCTCTCCGTGACCTTTGCAAGTTAAAGTGTCAAGGCGTCAAGGCGACAAGCAGTGCATTCCTTATATTTCATATACAAAAAAGGGCTCACAGCTGGGAGCAAAGAAGGCACAAACCTGGGATATAATATAGGTGAGGAGTTAGCACAAAATTAGTATGACATTTATTGGGCTTTGCTTAGCACTGTTTCACATTTTGCCCCCAAGTTGCCCCAAACAACGTTATCTTCCCTGCTTCCTTTCCCTTTGCCCCCCTCTTTTTTGGATAAAGCTGCCTGTGCTCTCTAGAAACAGTTGCCGAAGAATATATTGTGAACACAGATAAATACAAACATACACAGCAAAAATGTATTAGAGCATTACAATATAATTTTAGCCTTAAGCTACGGCAGTGCCTACGGGCTACGGGGAAGTGTTTCCAGAGCGTCAAGCTGCGCCGCTGTACAGGAACGGAGGAGCATCAGCAACGCTGGCAGGGCTGGGGACCGACAGGGAGGCTGCTCCGGGGTGCCTGGCTAAGCGGGATGGATGGGGGGYGCCTCTCGGCGGGATCCGCTTTCCTGGGAGACACCCAGAACCGCGGAGATCTCTTCAGCCGGGATCGGTTCTGCGGCAGGTCCTCGGGACACCTTCACACTTGTCCATTGTGCACACATGCTAAGTCACCCCCATGTTTCTTCTGTTAGGCTATGTTTTCTTTATATATATATTTTTCTAATTTCAGCTTCTTTTTTTTTTTGTTGTTTTGTTGTCTTTTTCTTACAACTGTTAAAAAAACGCTTCATGGTAAAAATAACTCACTATATGATACATATACCCAAAGTGGTGTGATACTTTATATAATAAAAGATGAAAATAGTCACTTTCCGTAATAAAAATAAGTTCTATTCTTTTTTTTTCCTTTTTTTTTTGGCTTATCTTACAATATACTTAATAACTCTTTTCTTCTTCTTCACTCTGACAGTAAACAGGTGCCRCTGCGCTGGCGCTGCCGAGGCGGCGGCGCCGGGCTCAGGGGCACCGGGAGCAGCCGCACTCCACGTGTCTCTCGAGCTCCTCGGTGACGCTGGAGCCGTCGGCGCACTGCAGCACGTACCTGCGCCTCTTGCTGCGCAGCGGCACGCAGCAGTGGCCGGGGCCGCAGGCGCCGCGGCACTCCAAGCGCGGCACCTTGGCGGCGCTCGCGCACGACGTGGAGCCCTGCTGCTTGCGGAGCACCTCCCGCACCACCTCGCCCTGGCAGGGGTTCTCTGAGAAGGCAACGAGGGAGAGGGGAAGGAAAGATGTGAGAGTGGCTCTGCCGGAGCCTGGCTGGCCTCACCGCACGATGCCGATAGATGCCGTGGGCAGGACCTCGGTGCACCTGCCCTCAGAACAGAGCTGGTGCCCTACTCGTGTGCAATATCCGCCYGTGGCGGTGGCCAGGCAGGCCTGCTGCCCGGGGTCAGCAGTGCTGGAGGGGCTTTAATGAACGCTGAGTGTTGGCTCCGCAACACTCCTGCAAAATACGTGCTAGCTTTATGGTGCTGGCTCCTCCAGAGCGGAGGGCAGGCTGCTGGGCATGACACGGGCGAAGCGGGAGACCTGGGAATGCCTGTGTGTTGTTTAGGCAGCTTTGCTGCAGCCAGGCGCTTCACAGGCTCTAGGTGTCTTACATGCTCTAGGTGACTTAGATGTTCTACGTGTCTTATATGCTCTAGGTGTTCTTGCCTGAGCAGGGAGGTTGGACTAGATCATCTCTAGAGSTCCCTTCCAACCGTGAACATTCTGTGATTCYGTGATATGGGCTGTGCATGTGTGTAATTTGGAAAGTCTGTGGGTCATTTGCAGGAAACCTAACTTGGAGAGTCTGTGGGTCATTTGCACAACCTAAAGGAAGCAGTACAAGGCAACTTTTGTCTTTCCTACAGGAACAAATGAAGGCAAAAGGGACCAAGTCAGAGCTGCCGTGGTGCTTTCTCCTTCTCCCTGCATTGCTCTGCAGGGGCTCAATCAGCCCTGCCTTCCTCCCGTTTGCCTCTCCGCCCTGCTAAGATAGAGAGGCGGCCGGGCGGCACGGGGCCCCGCGTACCTCTGTCGCAGTGCTCGCCGCCGTAGCCAGGCTCGCACTCGCAGGAGGGCTCCCCGTGCTCCGAGAGCCTGCACTGCCCGTGGTTGCACTTCCAACCCCTGCAGGGGCTCGACGAGTTGTTCCTCTTGTCACAGTAGGTGCCCGTGTAGCCCTCCGAGCACCTGCAGCTGTAAGCCACGTTGGCCGCCACGCACTTGCCATGCAGACACCTRGGGAAAGAGAAGCATTTGGATCGGGCTTGCCTCGCATGCGAACCTCCTTGCCCCAGGGGCATTTGCTTCTCCTATTTCTGCCCATTTAACTCCAGGGCAACAACACCAGGAACAGCTGGTCAGTGTGAAACACACTGGAGCAGCTCTAAGTTTGCAGTGAAACTGGGAAACGTTTGGGGAACGCACTGTGAATTTGCGGTCACTCAGGGCCTCTGGGCTGCCCCRCGAGCAGGGAGCAGCGCTTGGCCTCCCCATAGGACAGCTCAGGTTCACGGCACCAGCACGTGGAGCTCAGTGCCAACCACCACGCTGCCCGCCAGGGCCTCCGGAGCAAAACTGCTCCGCATATTGTATCAGGTGATGAAAAAAAGTGTGATAAATCAAGGTCCTTGTGGAAAAGCTGTGCRCAGAATTATTCACACTCAGCTCCAGTTGGAAGGTTTCCTGGCTCATGTGGTTTGCACTGAGCTTTGGTATTTCTGATGAATATCAGAGGAGAGGTGTTGATCCCTAGCAGGCTCTGGGACACCAGCCCCAGGCTTGGAACAGGCTGGGAAGAGGAGAGAGGACAACACCGTGGAGCCAGGGGAAAATTGCTTTGGCTTCAGCTCTGTAAACCTGTGCTCTACCAGCCCCCCCAACATAAACCTGTATCTCTCTGTCTCTCTTTTCCTTCCTTCCTTCCTTCCTTCCTTCCTTCCTTCCTTCC